CTTGCCCGAAAGCAACTGTTAACAAGCACTCATTCATTCACCTTAAGCAAAATGCAAGGTGTTAAAGGTCTTAAAACATGTAACTTTTTTCATTTCAACTTGTAGCAGGAAGCCTTACGATCAACCACTGACTAACAATACTTTTCAAAAAACACTTATTTATTGATCTGAGAGGGCATGCATGCCACAGAGTGAGTGTGGAGGGAAGACTTGCAGAGATGGTTTTCTCCTTCCACCATGTGGGTTCTGGGGATCAAACTTGGGTCATCAGGTGTGGCCGTAAGCACCTTCCTTTACCTACTAAGCCATCTCACCAGCCCCCAAAATACTTTTTTTAGCCAGGGTTTTTTCTTGCTCTATAGCTCAGGTTAGTTCAAACTCTTTTATCTTTTCTTTGGCCTCCCAAATAGTAGGATTACAGACACGCACTACCATGCCTAGATTAAAAAGACTAACTTAAATTATAATTGGTTTATTAACTCCTCTCTATTCTACAATTCACTTTTTCTATCCAAAACTCATAAACTCTGTGGAGGCCAGCCTGTAAACTCAGCATTCAGGAAGCTGAAGAAGAAATATATGAGTCTGAAGTCAGCCTAGGATATATGATAAGACCTTGTTTCAAAAACAAAACAAGACAGATTAAAACTAAAAAATATATTGTTAAAAATAACAAAAGAGAGCTGGGCATGGTGGCACATATCTTTAGTCCCTGCACTCAGGAGGCAGAGTCAACCAGTCTACATAGCAAGTGCCAGGCCAGCTGGGGCTATTATAGGGAGACCCTGCCTCAAAATAAAATAACTCAGACTTTCTATTTCCCTGAAAATTAATAAGCCAGCCTAAGAAATAATGTGTATTTTTCCCAGAAAGTTTCTGTAGAATGTTTTGCCCACCCCTCACCCCCTAGTTGGCTCTTCATAGTTGAGAATGTCTTTAAAAAAAAAAAAAGAGCCAGGCACGGTGGTGCACACCTGTAGTCCCAGCACTTGGGAGGCGGAGGCAGGAGGATCTCTGTGAGTTCCAGGCCAACCTGGTCTACATAGTGGTTCCAGGCCAGCTGGGGCTACAGGGTGACCCTGTCTCAAAAAAGAAAAAAAAAAGACGAAAAGACAAGCATGTTCTAGAGGAGCCTCGCATGGATACAGTGGCTGTAATGGACATGGTGCCAAGAGGAGTGCGAGCAGCATGCACCTCTGGCCAAACACAGGACAGAAGCTCCAGCTTGGATAAGACATGGGCCTAAGGCAAAAGGGGGGGGGGATAGGGGGGCAGGAAGGAGAGTAGGGGGGCAGGAAGGGGACTGAGGGGGTACAGAGAACAAATCCACGTAAATTACCTAGGGCTACTTTCTAAAAATACAGATAACTGGGTCTCATCCGAGATTTCTGAGCAAGATATTCTTGTGATAGAGTCTGGAAATCTGCCTGTTTTTTGTTACTGTGGTTTGCAATAGGGTCTTACTATGTAGCCCAGGCTATCTTTGAACTCAGGATCTTCCTGCCTCAGTGCTAATGTAACAGGTATGGGCCACACGCCTGGTTTGTTTTCATTAGCATTCTAGAAAAATCTGATAAAGAGGTACATGAGCATATTTATTTACATTAAAATTTGATTACTGACAGAACTGATGGAACATACGTGACATAAACCTAGCACTCACCAAACCAAGGCAGAAGGATCTTGGAGACCACTGAGGGCTATATGGTCAGACTCTTTAAAAAAAAATTTCTTTTTAAAATTTGATTACCAGTGCTCCAAGGAAAGGAGGATCCAATGAACGTACATAGCATAGAAAAACCCTGGCAGAGGGACTACATAAACAGAGCTACAGAAGTGGAAAATCGGGACTTGGAATGAAGAGGTTACAGGGTATGTCCAGCAGCCTATCAACTATATTGTTGAAACTATAAGTAATCTAGCTGAAGCCTTTACTCACACCAAGAGGTATGCTCTATAGGCAACAGAAGCCATCAAAGTTGTCTGAGTAATCGCACACTGTTTAAGGAAGATGACAAGTCCAAGAGGAACAAGGGCACAATGAAAAGACAGGAGGGAATGGATACATGAGATGAGAGCTTACAGGACGAAAGACAGGGCTTCGGGTGTTTCTGAGACCTGATCAGAAGGCAATGACAGGGACAGAGGGCATTTCAACAAGCAACCTGCTTCTTCGTGCCAAGCACCCACAATCATCCAAAGTATAAGAGTCGTTAATTCAACACCATAATCAAACAACCACTGTTTATATGCCAGATACTACTGACAATGCTGAAAATATACTCAGGGTGCAAACCAGTCCTTGCCTCCTTTAAAATCAGATCTCATTCTATTTATTCTCTATTCTTCTGTCTCTACTTATTTTTATTTATTTTTTAATTTTTAATTTATTTTATGTGTATGTGTGTACTGTCTGCATGTAGGTAAGTACACCTGTGTTGTGCAATGCCTGTGGAAGTCAGAAGAGGCTGTCAGATCCCCTGTACCTGGAGTTACAGACAGCTGTTAGCTGCCATGTGGGTGCTGGGATTTGAGCCTGGGTCTTCTGCAAGAACAACCAGTGTTCTTAACCGCTGAGCCATCTCTCCAGCCCATCTACTTTTTAATAAGAAAAAAAAAAAATGTGTTTCTAGAACTTGCCTGGCCCTGTCTTTGATAGTTTTGTTCCTGAAGCACTAATTGGCTCAAGCCAGGAACACACAGGTCTTCATCCTGAGTGGTTCTACTTGTTTGCTCTTAATTTTAAAAAAACATTTATTTAGTAACCTTTCTCAACACTGACATGAGTCTTGATACGAGACTAACGTGAAAGTTTCTGAAGCTGTACATTCAGAAGCTGCCAGTGAAGTCCCAACTTCAATTAGATGGGCTCAGGACAAATACAGAACTTCCCCACAGAGAACTTTCAGGTAGACTTCATTCATTCGTTCATATGTACAGTGCAGTCGGCTGTTTCTTCACTGACCTTGGAAAAGAGCCTGAGAAAAGCAGGGTGGAAAGCGTGTCTGTTGAGAGAATGAGCTAAGAAGGATGGGAAGCCGCACTTACACAGGAGGGCTGCGAGAAGCAACGAGAAGGGCTATGTGGACGCATCCAGGCAGGTCTACAGAAAATAAGACAACAGTGACCAAAGGTCAACCCTAACCAGTCACTGCCAAGCAAATTCATACTCTACAATATGTAATGCTGCCAGCTACCCAATGTGAGGCAGTTGTCTCAGAAATTATCTGACAAGATACACATGTGAAAGAACTATACAAGATAGGAGAGAGCCAACTGTTAGTTAAGGGGAGTATTAAAAGCATGACAGGACACATGCTTTACAAAAAGACAGCACAAACCTTTCCTAAGTCACTCAAGCAGCCAAGACTGTTACTGAGCACAAACTGGAATAGGGAAGACTGCTGGTTGAACATCCCTGGCTAGCCACACCTAAAAACGAGCATCACTTTAATGTTGGTGACATCATTAAACAACTTCCTAAGCAGTCTTACTTTTAACTCTCACTTTCATCATATTACCGTAAAGCGCTTCAGATCTGATCTCTCCCTAAACTGTATACATTACTATTGCTGATGGAATCTTTCTTGTCTTTGGCAAATAAAATCATAATACAATCAAAGCGATCACAATTACATTAAACATCTGATTAAAACTTGTGTCTCAATTCTTATTTTTTTATCTTTGTTTTTTTGTTTTTTTTTTTTTTTGAGTCAACACTCCCCTACATCACCTGCACTGGACTGGAACTCACGCTCCCCCAGCCTCCCAAGTGCTGGGATTAAAGGCATGTGCCACCACGCCTGGCTAAAATTTTTTTAAATTAAAAAAAAATTTCGGGGCTGGAGAGATGGCTCAGCAGTTAAGAACATTGACTGTTCTTGCAGAAGACCCGGATTCAAATCCCAGCACCCACATGGCAGGCAGCTAACAGCTGTCCGTAACTCCAGTTCCAGGGGATCCGACAGCCTCTGTCTTCCGTGGGCACTGCACGACATGGGTGCACTTACCTAGATGCAGGCAATACACACATACACATAAAATAAATAAAATATTTAAAAAAAAATCTATACAAGCCAGGCACAGTGGCATGGCAGAGACAGGTGGCAGGTTGATCTCTGAGTTCAAGGCCAGCCTGGTCTACATAGTGAGTTCTAGACCAGCTGGGGCTACAGGGAGACCGAAAAAAAAAAAAAAAAAAAAAAATCTATACATGTAAAATGCAAAGATATAAAAAAGAACATTTACTATTAAAGATATTAGTCCCTTAGCCAGGCCTGGAGACTCATAATCCCTGTACTTGGGAAGCAGAGACAGGAAAATCACTGCAAGTGCAAAGTCAGCTTGGGCTACACAGAAAGGAAAGAAAAAAGATCTTAATCTCTCTATATTAAATTAATCGGTATCATAAAATGAGTATCCCAAAGGCTAAATATTACACATGAACCATCAGACTCACTTTCTGGACGACTTTTACTTCAAAAATAAAAGTCCATTGTTTCAGGAAACGAATACTGCTGCTATGGTTGAGAGGAATTTAATTTTCGAAAGAGAACAAGATCAGAAGGACCTAAGAAAGTCATTATGACCTCACTTCCAAAAAAGGAAAAATGAGCAGTATAACAGTTTCGTTAAATCCAGAGTATTTTTCATTTTGCTTAGTAAAAAGTACATAGAGAATCCAAGAATCTGTGATTAAAATTTTGAACAGATACTGTAGTAGTTTGTGAAGAAGGTATGATAAACTAGATGTCATCAAATGTCATTAAAATAAAACCATACTTTAGAGCTGAGATGGCTCAGCAGGTAAAAGCACTTGCCCAGCCATTCAATCCCCAGGACCCACGTTAGAAGACCAACAGGTTGTCCTTGGACCTCCACATGTGCCATGGCCTGTGTGTACCCCCAAACACACATATACACACAATAAATAAAAATACAAAAAAAATAAACAAAACAAGAAACAAATGAAACCACATTTAGAAGAGCAAGTGTCTTACCAGCTGGAATTCTCGACGGCGGTCGTAGGCATTCTGTATGCCACTGTCGGCCCATAAAGCTCTTATAGCAGGAAGATACTGTAAAAAAACGCGTGTTTCCACCATTCCCTGGGCAGCCATGGGGGCACGGGTATCAAAAGCCATCAACTTGTCTCCATGGAGCTGGTTTTCATTATCTCCCCAAGGAATATGAAGCTTCTCTCGGGCATCTACCAGCACCCTCATACCTTCGTTTAAAAGGAAAATAGTGTGGGGAAGAGTCATTAGCCATCATCATCAGCTTTTATTCCAGGATCACTCAGGATTATTTTCATAATTTTTTAGCTATTACAGGCCTCCCTCTTCCAAAAAGATTGGTTCAAAACAAAACCTTTATCTTCTCAGAGGTTCAAAAAACAACTGTTCCTTGTCTGATAATTAAGAGCCTAGAAAAGTAAATATTGTTACCTAAATTGCTCTTTCTGAAGGATTTTAGCAGGCTGCAATTTATAAATACTTCTGGAGCAGGTGGTCAAAAGCAGAGAGGGAATAAAGAAATTATACCGCCTGGCTGGAGCCCAGCTCTGTGGACAAGCAGGCTGGGAGTCTCCTGAAGACCTCAGCCTGCCACACGCTGCCACAGGCTAAGTAAGAATGTTCGGTCGCAGTCCTTCAGCACCCTAACTCCAACAATGAGTCTCCTAGGACACACTTCAAACTCAAAAACTTCTCCCTGACCGAGTTTCAACCAGTGAACTCGAAGGCTGGCTTTAGAGTTCCCAAAACTTCAAAATGATACAAAAACAGAGATGTCAACGGACACAGGTTAATTCAAGCTCAGTTATTTCCACCACTAAACGGTTATCTTTGTGATGGTCTATTATTTCTTCCATACTTTGAAAAACTGTTTTGCTTTTAATTTTCTGATCAGGACAACTCAAGAAAACAAGGTGCCTAGTCCCTTAAACTTCACCTTACAATGATGTTCAAAGTTAGGCCCTGGTCCGGGTGTGTATCAAAAAACCAGGTGTTTATCTACCTACCTACAGTGAACATGTAGACTCTATTCATTAACATAATTCTTTAAGTTCAACTGCATCCGGATACAAAGGTACCTTCAATTAAGGACTGGCAAGGTGGAGTTTACAGCCTTAAAGGAGACCTTAATTAGTTTTGTGCTAAACATCAAGGCAGGCTAAGTACCACTGATCTTTACAGCTTAACTGCAGAGGTACAAGGTTGAGTCCTGGCCTGCTAGCTCCTCATCACTCCACAATGCCTCCCTCTCCAAGCAGTTCTCTGCCTGAAACCCTGGAAGAGGAAAGAAAGCAACGGGGGAAAAAAAAAAAAAAAGACTGGAAGGAGTCTGCTTATGTACTTCCTGAACAATAACAACAAAACCCACTTAAAAAAAGAACTCCTTGAAAAAAACTAAGGCTTAGAATCTACTGCAAAGTCCTGGATAAAACAGGGTGACCCTTCAACCACCTACAGCACCAGCCACTGCACCTCAATTTTGCCAACGTCTTACGTAGAAGCTACCCAAGAAAAATAAGCGTTAATTCTTTTAAACAGCAAAACAAAAGTCATTTTTGCCAACTTCTTTGAACGCTAAGAAATGAAAATCTTCTTATTTTTCACTCAAGAACAGTATTTTAATTCTAAAACAGTCAAACAGGAGCAAAGGCCATTCTCCAAACCCAACACCTAGTTACGGGACTCCACCTGTAAATGACTCCTTAGGTCAAAGGGCTTTCATATTTGACCATAAATTCATTTCAGTAGAAGAAATGATGCCATTTTTCTCCTGCCCCGAGTTACTGAGCAAAAAGTAGAGTGTGAAACGTGTTTGAACTGTGATTACAACATCCTCAAACACTGAGGCGAAAAACCACTCGAGGTCATTTTTTTTAGACTAACTGTATGGGTCTACTCTTTCCTGATGCTAATACAAGCAGACCTGACACCCGCAAGTTTCATACCCTTGCCCCAAAGCTGTCACTCTATGCCCTTGTCAAGAGTCTCGGGCCAAAAAATTAGAAAAAGTTTCCTTATTGCGATGGTTCCAGAACTCGCAACTTAGGAGGCAGCCAAGGTTTCGGGTACCCAACCGGGTGACTGGGGTTCCGCACCAGGGGCGGCGGGATGAAGGATGGGGATGGAGGATCTGGGGGTGCTGGAGCACCCGGCTCGCATCACTTCCTTCTCGCTAGGGTAAGGCCAGCGGCGGGGTGCCCGTGGCCCTCCCCGGGGTGGCAAGGGGTCCCCGGTCTCAAGGACCCAGCCAGGGGCGCGCCCCCTTTCCTCCCTGCCGATCTGGTTCGGTCCGGTCTCCTCCAGGCTGGGACGCCAGGGCGAGGGCGGTGCCCGGCCCCGCGCCCCCGGAATCCCTGGTGCGGGGGTCCCCGCGCCCCACCTTTGATCACGTTGCTGTAGATGGTGGGGCGGAACTCCTCACGCGCGCGCTGGTCGAAGTCCTGGCCGTGGATGATACGCATCTGCTTCAGGAAGGTGGACTTGCCGCTCTCGCCCGCGCCCAGCAGCAGGATCTTCACCAGCCGCTTCACGTAGGTCTTCTCCCGCGACAGGCATTTGTCGATCTCCTTGGACTTGCGCTGCTGCTCGGCCTCGCCGCTCGTCAACATGCAGCCCGGGAAGCACACGGACAGCACGGAGCGCGACGGCAGGAAATCCGCCATCTTGCCGCCGCCGCCGCCGCCTCGGCGGGCCCCTGCGGCTGCTCCACCTCGT